AAGGACAAAATGTTTGTTTTAAAGGTTGTTGCTATAAAAGGAAATTTTTTGTTAAAAATTGATTTACGGGAGAGAGTATCTTTTTTATATATGTGTTATTCTAAGTTAATGTATGTACAACATAATATAGATCAGTAATAATATAATATAAATAAAAATATATTATATATAAAAGTTTGTTTTATTGATATATAGCCAAGTAAGAGTCTGCATATATATCAATGTTATCTGAATAATATGATATCTAATAAATTAAAAAAAAACAGATCTTTTTTAAACTCTTTGAATTATACATATATAAGGTTTACTGATTCTGGCAAATAAACAAGGCATGCTTTAGTAGCACAATTCACTTCTTTATATCAATTAATTAATAAAAAGCAGGACTGCAAACTTAGGTACCATTTGTATTGCTCACATATTTGACAGTTATATAACATAGTTGAATTTTGACTGATCTTATTTCTCTTATTAAAATATATTAATTGACATTTCAAAAAATAAGTAACAGACCTGTGGGTCTATAGCACAGTGGTTAGTGCTCCACAAGTCAGATCACAAGACACCAGTTCAACTTCATGTGAAGGCAGTTGAATAGAATTAATATGGTATCTGGCGCCGTAACCTGAAATGCGCTGTTTCTCATGGGAAGCCAGTTCACACGCTGATCCAGCGGGCGTTGAGATTGTGACCTCTACAAAAGGTGCAGTGGTGTGATGATTGTCCGGTTGGTGCTACGATGATCGTTGGCTTAAAGGGGCACGACACGTTTGGATGTACAGACTGGGTTGTACTCCATCCTAACTAATCCCGATTGACAATAAAAGTTCCTCCTCTTTCGTAATTAGTTCTAGCCTAATTAAGTGAAGAAGACTCAGGGATATCTTGAGCCGGTTCCGTTAACACATCCTGTCCGAACACAAGCATGAACCGATAGGTTAGGTGGTTTAAAACTAGTGGTAGGATTTCTACCCCCTAGATAGGTTCCCCCCAAAAAACATGATCCACTTTAAGAGTGCATATCGTGTCGCTGGGTTTAATATAGGTGGCGGAGCTGGGTTAACTTAAATGGACCTTTGTAGCTTAATGTAGATTGGTTATACAACTCAATTAATAAATCATGTGCTGCATGCACCATTTACCTTAAAAAAAAAAAAAAAAAAATAAGTAACATTATAACCTTTGCATTCAAGTATTATTTAATCTAAAAATAAAGGTTAAATATAAAAGTAATATTGTATTAACAACTTAATTGTTCAATCATCAATTCAAAAACAAATATTTTTACAGATAATTAATTAAAAAAAATTTGAATATTTTAGTTTGGATATATATTGTCAAATAAAATAAAGCAAATGTTTTAATTAATTATTATTAAATACTTATTATTGTTTTTTTTTTTACATAACTTGTGATTTGAACACATGTAACTATTTTCTTAAAGAATACTAGATAAACCTGTCATTTAATGACAGATTAAATTTTAAAAATAAAAATATAAATTTGATTTATGTAACTTATACTGTTGTGGAAACAATAGGGATGGGAACGTGACATTGAGGCGTGTCACATAAAAATAGTAATAATATTAGCAAAATGATGAAATAATTGGTCATAGCATGTAACTGGATGGATGCGTCAAAAAGGCATACGAATAGGGTAATTTTCCATAATTTGTGATAGTCAGTTTAGGTCAGTTTAGGATAAACCGAGAGTAATACCACCACAGTAAAGTATACTATTTTTAAGAGAAGAAACCGAGTTACCTTTTGTGTTGTGAAGAGAGTGACACTTATAATCTTGAGACGCGACTAGAGAAAGACGGTAAGAAGAGGTTAGCAGGTGTGTGAAGGTCGACCAAATTGGAGCCGCCTCAAAGATAAAACCTTATTTTATTTAGTGCCAATGTTCATATTATTTTCACGTGAAAGAACACGTGCCACCTATACCACACCTGTATTGATTGTTGCGAAATTTTTTAATATACAGTACAGATTTTACATAATTAAGTAATATCATTAATTAATATAATTTAATAAAAAGAAATGTAATTATTAAGCATAGTCAATGCTTAAAGAAGGAAGAGTATTTGAGTATGATCATGGCAATGTAGGTTTATAAGGCGATGGATTTTTCGAGGTGGTATATCTACAGTATATTACGAGAATAAATTTAAGTATTAAAACCAACTAAAGAAAATGTCTAGATAAGGTCACACGAACCCTAAAGTTTCTAAAATCTTGGTTATGTAGGGACCTATTACTCCACCATATTTCTTATCAAGATCATCAAGGCGGATACCGGGTAGAGATACATATATCATTATAAAATCCGAAGTATTTGCATAGTATGTGTCCACGTGATCAATACTCGAGCCCGAAAAAAATGGATTTAATTTTGTCTCAAGAACAACCAAAGAAGAATCATGTGTCATAAATCCCATTGTGTACGGGGTTATAGTCGCAAGCGATAGATTTCCAGCTATATATGATTCAGGAGAACTAATGAATGCATTTTCAAATACATTTAATGAAGCGTATTCCGTTCCTATTGGTGCAAAATTGCTTATATTTTGCGCTAGGGCTGTCATGGTTGTGTTGTAAGTTCCTTGATTCAACATCATGTATCTATCAAAGGCCGCTTCGGTGAAACCAGTATAATTTATTGGTTTGCTTGGATCTGTAATATCGTTAAGAAACACTGGACTGGGGGTTAACGATAAAAAATCGGGAAGAAAATACCTAAATAAAATAGAAAGGTCAACTTTATATTTGTATAAATACAAATTAAAATAACAAAAGCAAAATATAAAATATTTACTCGTTCCAATTAGAAAGAAATCCTAGACCGTGAATAAATTCATGAGTGATAATATATTCAAAATCGGCTTGATTTTGTTGTATCGTTGTATCTTCTTTAAAGTATACATCTGCTGTGGAACTAAATAATGCTGTAATGTCGTAAGTATTAAATTCGGGATGCGAAGGAAATTGCATCTGTTTTACTAGAGCTTGAGGGTAAAGTCTGATTATCCCGTCATGGTCTTTTAATGGAATTGTTCGAGCGGGTAACGCTTGGCCTTTATGAATTTTCAACGTAAAATGATCAATATAAAGACTTTAAAAAAATAGTTCACGAAGTCTATTCTTATACATACCAAGAACGAGGGGTCCTAATGCAGTAAAGGTTGCATTTACTTTTACAGGTGTATTAAATTGAATAACCGATGCAATTCTCTGGCCGGCTGATGCAAATGCATTCTTTGCTTTTTCACACAAATTTTTGTCACTGGAGCCACAAGTAAAATCAATTACGAATACTTCGCTGGATGATAAAAACCCGGTCGATTTTTTCGTGATTTTATTATAATTTTCGTTTTTGACAATATTGCAACTGACTTTTGTTGATTTATAGGAAAATAGATCAGGATAATCATGACATTCGAGAGCAATAATTTGTCTCGAAAGAAACCCGATGATAATAATAACAAACCAAGGTAAACTTAAATTAATTTTATGCACCATTATTACCGAGATTTTTTTTTTATTATAATCCTCAAGAGGATAAATTGTTGTAAGGAACATCTTGACCTTTATATGCTGTAATGAAATGTCTCATACTTCCTCCGTTGCGCCAAAATAAGGAACATTCGATGTTTGTACTATATTTTTCGCGTAACCGTCGATAAATAAAAAGGAAAAATTAGAAAATAGAATTTTGATTTCTCTTTATGTTGGTATAAATAGACACAATAAAAAATAAAATTTCCGATTTCGCTTTATAGTGGTGTAAAGACACACAGAGACCGAAGAAGGAATTCTATTTTTCGCGTACTGTTAATCCTTTCGACTCGCATGACTTGGTCTTGCTCTTTTTGCACTATCATCATGTACCTTGTTTTACATTACGTGTATATTTTTTAGCTGCTGCTGCCAATGCTCATTCTTTGCAATCGATCGGTGATAGTTGGTTACTTACGCGAAACCTGCATGAATGGTATCATGTAGAATATTTAACATATTTTGAAAAAAAACTCTTGAAAGCATGAAGGTATTGTACTTTTGATATCTGGCTCAATATCTAATCGAAAAAAAAATATATTTTTATACAGTGGTTACTAAAAAAAATAATAAATGCAAGTGTTTTCTCTATTTTTAAAAAAATTTTTTATTTTAAGTGGCAATCTGTCGCTAATTTTATCAGAAAAAACCTGGGGCATAAAATAGACAAAAATATAAATAATTTGAGCCTCAATAACTTGGCCGACACTTGTTTCTATTAAAATGCGAAAGAAAATGTAATTCCTTGTCGGTCACGTTACGTGACAAATATGAATTTATAAGATTAGTGTAACTGACATACATTCTATGGCGTAGATAAATTTAGCATGATTAAAGATCTTTACAGTTATAACCAATAGAGAATTGTGACTTCAGCCCTATACTGTATTACAGTATTAAGTAACACAAAATTAGCATATACTGTTTAATAATTTACGTACATACTACTGGTCAACACTCGAAAAACGGATCGTTACTCGATTTTCTATAGTTAGTCCAGAAATCAAAAAATTTGAACGAGCAAAGTAATCTTATACTATATATGACGTAAGACTACTTCTCAATAAAATTCTTGATTATATTTGGAATTATAGTGTGAGAATGAATAGCGGTATATTCAAATAATAGCCGAAACATAATTGAAGGAGTTGGATGATCTGGTTCTCTCAAAATCATTATTTGCCTCGCAACAATTTATTTAGAAGTAGAGCCATACAGCGTTAGTTTATATAATGTTAAATATACCATTAAACTTATCAAGTTCTTTTACGAGTTTGAAAGGTCGCCCGCTGATTCGTATTGGCATTATTTATTTGTTATTAGTAATAATGATTAACTGTTTGGAATTAGAACAATTTTATGACTAAGTTTATATTTTACTCTTTATTTACTCGATATATTATGAAATTTATATATGTTGCTAATTATTATAATTTAATAATAATTTTAAAATATAAAGTTTAGCTTCAGGCTTAACGGTTATTCCCTTAACATCGAATATCGATGAAAAGTGACATCGGCCTTGGAAACTTCATTATTGCATATACAGTATTTAAAAATCATCAATAGGTTAGCACAGTAAGTAAGCAAGGTAGAAAAATAAATAAATAAAAATAAATCATACCTTCGATACCCTAGATCTCTGATCAATAAATATTAAAAATATTTGCTTTTATAAATTATTTTTAATAAATTCATAAGAATTATTTAATAAAAAATTATTAAAAATAAAAAAAAAAAACAAATAATATAATTTTTATTTAAAATAACCGATCGAACGTTTTTTATTTTTAAACTCAGATTAATGAGTAAATGGTGAGTGTGTTGGTAATACTAACAAAGATTTATTCAACTGTTACTAATGATTAAAAAAATAAGCAAATGATTTAAGGCATTTGATTTGACCAAATTTTTCTCCTTTATAAACATACTATTTTATTAACTTTATATTTCATAATTTGACAATTTAAGGAAGAATTGATTCTTTTTAAATCATTTTTAGTTTCAAATAAGTAAATATATGTATAATCCTTGTTGAAAAACAGTTTATGCAAAAAATAGTCCAATGCTATCTTGTTTTAATTGAGAAATTCTACCAATATAGGTCTTCATACTTGGATGACTTGTTTGATTATTTGTAGAGCTGTTTTCTTTTTTTTGTAATGTCAAACAAAATAATGAATGATCTATTTTTTTACATACTTTAAAATGACTAATAACTGATTTGTTGATTCCATATCACAGTGATTGCATTTTGCGCATGCTTGTTTGAAACTTTTAATCCATTCAAGCTTAGTGGAACAAACTCAAATTTTGCTGGAGAATCTCGTGTGATACATAAATACAGTAGGTATATAAATTTACTGTATACAGTACATCATTTGATCACATCTTTATTAGTTGTACAAAAATTTATCTCTAGTTGCAGCTTAATAGTTTTACCCGTCAACACAATTCTTATAATAAACAGTAAAAAATTCTCAAATTTTTAAAAGAATAAACAACGAATTGAAGAATTATTCTCACATATACTGTATGCTGTATATTGATTTCCTTTCCTCATTTGCTAAACTTCACCCTAGAATATTGATTAAGATACACTTCCTGCATCATCTATTTCAGTTTTAATAATGATCAGCGTTCATGGAACATTGTGGCTGTTAGCGATATTATGTACCATAACTGCCAGTTCTGCCGATAACAATAGTAATATGTTGTAAAGGATCATAGAAAATATAGAACAAAAGGTGATCATGCTACTAAATGTACGAAAGTAATATAAGAATTAATCCAACAGTACATATAAAACAAACTGTTGATTTTTTGTATATTTCGGGAACGTTGATCAAAAAAGGAAAGAGCGAGTTCATTCTTATAAAGTACAAGTTTTGGGAATTAATTATCGACGTTAAATTATTTAACAAAAACTTGATTTTCTAAAATAAAATCGCAAATAAGCCTTTTATTTTACCGCATAAGGAAAAAATCATACGTGATGTAAGTACAAAGTTAATTAAAAAAGATCACCGTAACGCAATGACCTTTCATGGAATCATAAAGAAGACCTTAGTATTTGTTGTTAGTAAACAATGTTTCTTCGGAATGAATAAACGTTCGTGTATAATTTAATTTTTGCTATACAAATGCAGTAATTGGAGAACAGGAAAGTTAAATATAGTGGTACGGTATTTTGAAATTCGGTATTTTTGTGTTACAATACACTGTAGTTTCCAAATACGATAAATAAAAAGTTTTTCTGATTGAACAAATTCGGATCACGATATCCCGTAAAAAAAATATAAATATAAAGAGATATCTAAATTATAACAGCTCATTTAATAAGCCGTGTCAATAATCTTTTGAAGTAATTTTGCATTTGATATTATAAAAATGACCTTTTTGATCAATCCATCGACAAGGAGGAAGCCTTTTATGAGAGCCAGAACCACTCCCCTCACTTTTCTTGATCGATATAATCAAATTAATGAGAGGTATACAATAATATTTATGATATTTTTTATATGTACCTTTGGATTTGCCTCTGGTATTGCCTGTATGCATTTTGGTATTGTAAAGTTGTTCTTATTTACGTATTGATATCATTTCTGTTTATAAATTTACAACTAACCACTAAATGATCGAATCTATAGAAGTTAGAGAGTATTCCAATTATTATGATGCAGGTGTTATGAGAGCACACTATTACAATAAAACGTATTCCGAAGACGAGGGCCCAATTCCGGAGTATTTAAAAGATTCGAGGTATTAAAAGTTGCTTTTTATTGTCATTAATTTGTATTATAATGATTCTTGACCATTAATTGTAGGTTTGGTATAAAATTCTACGCCATATTTTGGTTGTCTTCCCTTTCTATTTGTAAGTACAATCAATTATTTATTTAATTATTTAAACTTCAGATTAAACGATTTGCCTTTTTTCTAAATTTTATTCTCATGACATCCATTCTAGATGGGAATTTTTACTTTCTTCTGTTTCCCCGCAAGATTATGTAAGTTTTTTAAAAATAATATTGTTAAAAAAATAAATAAATATTAAATTCCTTAATAAATTAAAGCATAGGATTGATACTGTCATCAATATACGCATTTCTCACTTCTTTAGACATTATTCGTGGTCAACCGCTAACATGTCCTCGCGGTAAGGATTTTTATAGAATATTAAAATTGGAGCTTGTATTAAAAAAATTATTATTTTAATTTTAATTTAGAATATGATTCGAAATTTTATGTGATACCTGGGATTGACGAGCCACTCAATTTGACATGTCAATACCACATTAAAGCATTTATTTCATCTTGGATCAATGTGGGGATTTTTGTATTTGGTATTATGGTTTATTTTTTATTCGTGCCGACAGGAATAGCAGTTTATATGACGGGCGTAAAACTTTCAGAAACTATTAAAAAGAAATGGGCATACAGGAAGGAATGTTTTGAACAAAAAAAGAGCGAGAAAGAGAAACGACTAAGAGACGAGGAAAATAAAGAAATCAACATAATTGTAGATAGATTGACATCAGCAATCCACTCGACATAACATAGATATACATAATTAAGCAACAAAGCTTATTCCATACTTGTGTATACTAGATGCAAAGTTAGAAATAGTTTCTTATTATCATTATACGTCAGTCTGCAACATAAAAATGAATTTACATTACCATACGCAATAATTTTATATTGCTGCATAGTACACACTAAACCATATGCTGCATAATAAAAACACGTGATAAAATCTTTTATTTAATAAAAAATATACATGAATATTACAACTTTTTCGATAAAATTACAAATAATCCAATTATCATATTAAAATTATTGAATATATTTAATTGTTTTAATAGCTTGGATAAACCACAAATCAGGTTAATTGATATGGTATTTTAATTATAACGATTATAAACAAGATATACGAGATTTAACTTAAGATTATACTTTTATTAATATATATATATATTGCTTTCTAAAGCAATTTTATAGTCTTACTTTATATTATTTGAACAATTTCCTATTTGAACTAAATTAAAACCAAGATCAAAGTTTGGTTTATTATCATAAAAATTTTTTTAGCTATTTTATTGAAAACCATTAATCATAAATTTTGGATATATTATAATTAAAATAAATAAATGATATTGTAACAGGGAAAAATGGGACGCGACGTTAGTCACATGACCGATCGACGTGACAATGGTAAGTTGGCTGTGATAATTAGGTAATAAAGGAAGGACGGGAAGGATTGTGAAAAGAATTATGTAATTTAGCTTTAGCCATATTGCTGTATCATTACTTGTTATTATGTCTAAGCCACCATAGCCAAATATAAAGTATAAATAACATGTAAAGTATAGAGGAGTAGAGGAGAGACACATAAGTAAAGTAGTAAACATAGAAGTGAGAAATTAATAAAGACTCGGTCAAATACTGTACAAACACGCCTAAAATCACCCATTCATTTATTACCCCAATAACGGTTACGTGAATCTCTGCTAGAGTTAGCGACTGACTCGTCGTTACACCGTTACACTGTCAATCTCGACATGCTGCACAGAGCTCTAAACAGACTCAAAATTTCCACACTAATGTCAGACTTGCTAATTATACTGTTTCAAGGAAGAAGCTTCAA